CTCACACCCCCTACCTGACATCCATTTGGGGCACCTGTCCACAGCAGGAGCCTGGTCTCTGTGCCCAAAGAGCAGCAGCCCCTGTCGAGTGCAGACCTGGTGCAAAGGGCCTCAGAACCTTGCGGGGCTGCAAAAGCCCCATAAATGTTGGTGATGCCACGGGAGAGACCGAGATGAAAAGCCTTGGCACGAACGCTGCAGAGCCTGAGTACTGGTCTGGGCCCCATCATGGAGCCAGCCACAGCCAGCACTGTCTCCTAGGTGTCCTGAGGATATTTTAAAGCAGATGCTGCTGACCAAAGCCCAGCCTCCAGGCTCCTGGATGTCAGGTGGGTCGAAAGATCAGAGCACCAGCAGCTGTCTGCATTCAGGAGAACATACCGTACCAAAGCCTGGGGGGACGTCCCCCCGGCATTGCCCACCCTGCGATGGAGCCGAATCTCCGCAGAGACAGTGCTCCGGGCAGCAGGACGTGTGTGTGCTGAAGAAACAGATCTGGCGCCAGTACAGGCTGTTCCCGCTCCCAGCTGTAATTTGGTGGTGACTCCTCCACAAATATCCAGTCGTTTTTTTTATTTTTCAGTCCAGTGTTTGTGGCTGTGTGTGTGTGTGTGTGTGTGTGTGTGTGTGTGTGTATATCTGTCTCTCTCTTTTTTTTCCCCCTCGATCTATTCAGAGTAGGGAAGGTGCTGAATGCACGGCTCCAGGGATTGACCCAAGATCCTCAGGGGGAGTGAGGCAATGAAACACCTTGAAGGAGGTGGCCTGTAGCTTCTCACTGCAGAAACAGCTGCAGCATGAGAAGCTGTTGCCTCTGGCTAGCCTGCCCCTGACCCCTCCTGGTAACTCAGTCCCACCACGTGACCGAGCTCTCACTGGAGGCATTCCCAGACATTGCCGAGAAGCTGAGGGTGACGGGCTCCCTCCCTCCCAGATGTGATAAAACCCAGCTGCTGATGTGCAGGTATCGGGGCAGAGCCAAGCGTCCAGGCCAGAGGAATTAGCCGATGTGGCAACTTGAGGCACGTGTGATTCTTTCTGTCGTCCTGGGTGGCTTCAAACCAGTGTGACTGAGCTCAGCTATAAGGTCCAAGCTTGAGGCAGGAAGTAAATCTGGGACCCCCGAAGCAGGAGGTTACAGGGGATGACCGTGAGGCTCCCAGCCGCCCTCAAAATATCAGTGAGCAACTCTGCTGCAGCATTCATAGCCAGATGCTGGCGTTTCCATACAGGTTCCCCAGTGCTGCAGGCTTGCCAAGTCTAAGAAGAGGCTCCCCTGGGCCCAGGCCCTGTGCGCTACGATGGCCGGTCCTGTCCCGTTAAAGTTTTTACATGTCCAAGCTCTCTCTCAAACAATGATCCAACACACTCTAACTAATAAAAAGGCCAATCCCTGAAGGCAACCCCCCTACAACTAATCTGCCCAGACAAACCCGGCTCTGGAACCAGTCTCAATGTGTGTCTACACTCATTATCGAGATATACTTCAAGCAGCCAAAGGAAACATTAATTAGTTGGAAAGACCAGCTCGAATGCAGGCTAAGCTCTTGATGTGCCACAAGCTGCCGCAACTTTAATTAAATCCAAAAGGCAATTAGCCCACCGTACTCTGCCATCTTGCCTGGGATCACTCTGTTCTGCGCATTCTTTCAGCAGCGAGATAAGCATTTTCCATCCCCCAAAAATATCATCCGGCAGATGCTGCCAAGGGAGAAAATGGTTCCCAGATGCACGGTGTGGCTTTGCTGGCATTTGGAGCTGCCCATGGAAGTGGAAATCCGAGGCTGGTTGTCAAAGAGAAGTTTCCTCCGAGCTCGGATCGGCGTCGTGCTGTTCGTAGAGAGGGAGCCAGACTCTAAGCATTATCTCTGACGGTCCAGGGCGGAGACGGAGGGGAAGGGATTAGCTCGCTTCTGCCAAAATGCCCCTGGTCGTCCAGCTCCAGAGCGGGAAGTCAGAGTTGGCGGTTAGTGTTTTAAGCCCATTTCTGCTGTCCCTGCAAAGGAACAGACCCTAGGAAGATCAAAATGCAGAGATGCCAAGAAAGCAGCTACAAACCTTCCCCGCCAGCCGCCAGGAAACCCGAGGGACGGGGCAAAGACGCAGCACGTCCAGATGTAGAAGAGTCCCCGTGGCACGGGTGACGGGGCCCAGTCCCCCACGATCCCTGCCCACATCCGGGGCAAGTGCAGACCCAGCCTGGTTTGTCCAGGACTAGCGGCATGGATGGAGACACGGCCTCCCCTGTTCGCTGGCCAAGGGGAGCACGCTGCGAGCTCCCCCGCGGGGATCCCTGCCGGCCAGTCCTCCTGGGACAGCTATCTCAGGCCGCGCAGCCCCCCAGGAGCCGGCGCATGAGGGACTGACGTCCAAGGTAGAGCGCTGGCTTCTCCCTGCAGCCCGTGGGCACCCCCGGCTTCACCTGGGGCCAGGGCTGCGGTGCTTTGGCCACGGGCAGACGTGACACGGGCCCCCCCCGCAGCAGGACGGGGCTGGCGCAGGGCCCGGGCGCTGCTGCGGAGCAGGTGGGGGCAGCCGGGGGCGGGGCTGGGCTGCAGGCTCTGGGGTACAGGGGGGTGCAGGCCTGCTCTGGGAGGGCAGGTGTTAGCATGAGCCGCAAGGAACTATGGGTGCTGAAGTCCTTGGACTCCGCTGCAAGGAACTATGGGTGTTGTGGTCCAAAGGGAGGATTCTGGGAGTTGTAGTTGGGGGTAAGCAGCAGGGGGCTCTGGG